GTGTACCCGCCGAAACGCCGTGCATTTATCGAGACTTTCAACCCCAGGTAGGCCAATTAATTTTACACCCAAATGGCTCTTTGGGTGTAAAAGGTTGCAGACCCCTGAGCTAGGGGCTTTCTGTGTGGAGTTAGCATGTTCTCCTCATGTCTGCATGGGACTTCTTTGGGTACTGTGGCTTCCTCCCACATCCCAAAGACATGCAGTTGGTAAGGTTAGGTTAACTGGAGATTCTAAATTGGTCATAGGTTGGAATGGCTGTCAGTTTGTGACAGACTGGTGGCCTGTACCCATTTATTACTTATGCAGAAAAGTACAGCTGGGATTGTCTCCAGCTTTTGCGTACTTCAAATGAGCACTTTTATTATGATTTTAAATCTAATTATTCATCTGTAACCTGAGAGAGACAAAACATATGTGACAAAGTGAAAATGATTCTGGTACAAATCAGACAGTTTACTGATGGACCTCTGATATTAGTCACCCATATAGTAACAGACTCAAGAGTGGATCTGCCCTTTTTATTTAATAATAATAATAAAAACTCTTTGCTAAGGTTTATGACCATTCGTTATGTTTGTTGATCTAATATCAGCCTTTACTGATTGATGATGGCTTCCTCACAGCCAACGTTTCACATTTAACTAACCTTTCATTTTGGGTATTTCAGTATATTTTTGGAAGATGAGACATTTTAAATAAGGAATACAGATCCAGATGTGATGAGCTGGGAAATGATCGAGCCAAATTGGATCAGGGACTGAACCGATCTGGCTTTATGATCTAAAATGCGATCAGTTATGGATCCGTTCTGCCGTCCAAGTGTAACATCCAAAAAGTTAGATTATTACCAAGTATAGTAAATGAAAGGATATTTCTTACCACAGTTCTGGTGCAGAATCTCAGTATCATATTTCCACAGAATGACGCTGGATTCACCAGCGTAAATTAAGACGATGAGGTGTTCGCAAACGAAGAACTTTACTCCCAACACTCACGAATGCTTTACCTAAATAAACAGGACAAATACGGAGTTTGTATGGCAATGTTACTGAGATACATAAACCAATGCTATATTCAGATTTAGCATGCCCCATCTGGTAGTAGACAAGCTTCAAAATTCTTCAATTCTTGAAGAGACTGTTCCCTTACTTGCGTGCATCTGAGAATCTATCAGTTTGTTACCGACATGGGTGGGGATGATGTCATATTGTACTGCCCCATGGGCGAAACAGCAAGTGTTTAAACAGAAGAACAGGTACAGACACAGCCAAAATTATATTAATATATATATGTATATATTTTAAACTTACTTTAAGACGCCTTGCAGTACAAGCCAAGGGAGAAGAGCAGGGACTTAAATAGTCAGAGTTAAACAGATCCTAGAACTAATGGCTCTTCTTAGCGATGTTCCACCAATAGGAATTTTCCACTTGTGGGGTTTACACCAATAGCAAACTTCCACGAGCTGGTTAAGTTAACTCAGTAAGGTAACCCACATGAAATGGATGGTTTTAGCAGCATCTGGCCTTTCTAAGAGGGGCGTTTCATGGATCATGTGACTTTTATTCCACACTAAATGATCCCTATGAATGACACCTATTCTCGTCACAGACATTATGACATGATGATAAAATTGTATAGGATCTATAAAGAACATAAAAAAGATAACTGGAAAATGCAACACTGTTGCCAAAAGGGCACAGTCAATAATGCAGAAAATCATTAATCTGGTTATTTAGCGAAAATAGCATTAAAATCAACATTTTCATTTAAGTTAATGATTTTATCTCTCAGTGTGCTCTCGGTGTTGCTGTTTATTTAAATTGGATCCATTTGCAGTGGATTAAAACTTACTCCCCTACAGCCTAATAAAGGAGACATGGAAATCACTTTGGTTGTCAACAGATCAAAGTGAATCAATAATTTTATTCTTTAAAAAGGAATTCTTGGTGTGTGTTCTGTGATGGTATGCCTTGCTTATATAAACTGTAATCCCCAGCAGAGAATCTCTAATATGTTTGAAACATTACCAATGCTGATCAGGGAAACGACCAGTTCAGATGCTACTAAAAATCTTCAGATCCTTCTAGTCTCCCTGCAGAGGTCTGAGAGATTTTCCTGAAATGGTGATGCTGTTTTCTGGAGAATTGATTGGTCAGTATGCAGATTTCTTTCTGCTGATTAATCTACAGGCTAGGTTCCACTGACAATTAGTTTTCCAGAAAATAGTGTCGCCATTCCTAGAAAATCTCTCAGAGCAGGTTAGGTTCGTAGAATAATTTACCATGGGGATTTATGCTGATTTACCCAAGCTGCAACTTTTACTGAAGCTTTCTTTCCCTGCATGTTCCACATATAAAAACAACTATAAAAGATTATTAGAAGCAAATGGATTATTCAGGGTTAACAATGACTCGACTCTTTTGTACTGTTAAAGAGGAAGGGATGAGGGAGCGGGTCACTTGAGGCAGGCCCTGCAGGCAGGTAAATATAGACACAGCTCATCTGATGTTTATTGAAGATCTAAAAGATAAGCTTTTGAGGGAAAGAAAAAACACTTTGCAGAACTGTAAGGCCAAAATCCCTGAACAGGGTTACTTCTGTTATGTGAGATGCACTTGTGTCTTTATTGTCACGCATCCTGCCCAGACAAGTCTTATGCCAATTGAAAGTGATGGTAAGACTAGAAACAGTAAAACTAGTATTGCCATCAGACTTTTTCATGTTTTAGCACCAAAGTTATAATAATTGGGGAACTCAAACTACTTTTTACATGCTTGGTTTGCCAGACTTGCAGAAAACCTGCAAGAGATTACAAGTGACACACTGTATGTACCCGACAATATCCTAATTTGACAAAAACTTTAACATGAACTTGCATTTTTTGCTTTGAGCTGATTTTTCACTGCCTGTTTTCTAAATGCAAATAAGGATAGCTCATCCAATCAACATGATTTATAGAAAATTCAAATAAAAGCTATTTAGTGCTTAAACTCAGATGAACCAATATGGCAGAATGGAGACCCGGGAATGACACAAATTAGGATAGGATCCTCCACATTCTAGATGCTGGCATTGGTGAAAATGAAGATGGAGGATGGGTGTAGCTTACCAATTAAGCTCCGATTACCAATGTAGTGTAACTGAATTCAGATAATGTAAAGATAACCTGGATACGCTGAACTTGCTTTATTGAATAGGGCTCTGAGTGTCTACTCCACCTTAATTGCTTCCATCAGAGTTCTCACCTGTGTCTCAGAAAACCATAACTAAACCCAAGCTGTGACAGCCGAAGATTTACTCAGGTAACAATAAACAGTAGATGGAAGCAATATACCATTGATGCATCTAGTCAATCTAGATGCATCAAGAAGTAGAAGAAGATAGATTGTTCTGTTTGGTTGGTCTTTATATTTCAATCAACTTCACCATTACCTTCATCTTTTGCTAAACCAGGAAGAGCTGTAGCTGCTGACAGGTAACTCCAAAGGCAAAAAAAGGCAAAACTATTAGCAAACTGTGCAAATTTAAATATAAACACACAACAGAATAATTTACCAATTTATTGGTGACTGTAAGTTAAAAGTGGTAACGATGTTATTTTAATACTATCAAAAATATGTTAATTATTATTAACTATTAAACCGTTCTATTTGCTTTATTAACTGCTGCAGAGAAAAAGAAAGGCTTTCATGTCCCTTTTTATCTGGTTTACTTAGGTTAATTGTCTTGTTGGGGGAGGGGAGCATTTATCATTTCCTTTAACCAGAGGATTTTCTTTTTCAAATATTTTCTCAACAGCACTGTGACCTGACAGTTAAACGGGTTTAACAATTAACTCCAACTGTGGAAGTTTACTGAAAGAAAAATGTTGAGAATTCTGAACAGAATTATAGTAAGTAACATGCTCTCAGTTAACTTAGCCTTTTGTTAATGTAATAGTGTAAATCATTTCCCTGGCTCTTAACAATATGTTTTTTTTATTGCATCATTATTAATGATCTTATTTTTATTTGTCTCACAGAATTTAATCTAGTAACTAAAACATTTTTGCATCTGTCAGGTGAATGTTGGAATGATGAATTCCTATGGCTTGGTGAAATCCTGTCGGCTGGTAAATTCTGCATCGGACTCTCTGATGGGTGGCAGGTATCTGAACCATCAGAAAGGACTGCCCCGTCTGCCTGTGCCCCCTCTGCGGGAGACCTGTGAACGCTATCTGAGCTGTCTGGAGCCCATTGTAACAGAGGATGAGCTGAAGCACGCAAAACGGCTGATGAAGGAGTTCCTCAAAGAAGGAGGTGATGGAGAGAAACTGCAGAGAAGCCTGGAGAGGAAAGCGTGCACTACTGACAACTGGGTGAGTGCAAAACATGGATTAAATGTCCTTAACTGTCCATGTTAGTGGTCGGACAGGAGAGCTGATAGGTGCAGTTCAGGAGGGACTGTGGTGAGAAATCATAATGGTTTTTGTCCTGATGTGTCTCCATTCACAGCTTTTTCAGAAACATTATTGTCAGTGGCTTATTGTTGGGTTGTTTTTGGGTTGTTTTATTATAATTTGCTCCCATTTACATTTTTGATTGATATATCTTAAGTAAAGTAATTTAAATGATATGGTGAACTCCCAGGTCCGACACAATCTCCACCCATCCCCACTGATGTAAAGTGGTTTAATGTCCATTTTCTTTTTCTTGAAATCCACAACAATCTCCTTGGTCTTAAATGTGTTCAGGAGCAGGTTGCTTTCTCTGCACCACGCTGTCACCTGCTCCACTTCGTCCCTATAGGAGTCTCATCTCCCCGAGAGATGAGCCCCACCACAGTGGTGTCGTATGCAAATCTGACGATGGTGTTACTGTGTTGAGTGAGGGCACAGTCATATATGTATAGCGTGAAGAGCAGGGAGCTCAACACACAGCCCTAGGGAGAACCAGTGCTGATGCTGATGGCCGAGGAGCTGTGGAGCTGCGGTTTGTCAGAAAGTCCTTAATCCAAAGACAGGCGGAATATGGCAGTCCTGGGGTTATCAGCTTGGTCACCAATCTGTGAGGGTGGATGGTGTTAAAGGCAGAGCTGAAGTCAATAAAGAGGTGTGCGTAGCTCCCCTGGTGCTCCAAGTGGGACAGGGTAGCATGGAGGGCAGCAGCAACAGTGTAGACCTGTTAGCCCTGTAAACTAAAATAATATGTAAACTAAAATAATATTCAGAAAGTTAAAAGAACACTTAATCCCATATTAGGATATTGATGAATGAAATATTCAAGTTGAAAATATTCACTGACTAGCTGTGGTCAGAAGTTTACATACATCAATCATGGGCATGAATGCCTTGCTAATTTGGGGTCTTTAATGATTCCTTTAAACCAGGGGTAGGCAACTCCAGGCCTCAAGTGCCTGTGTCCTGCAGGTTTTAGACATCACCCTGGATCAACACACTTGAATCAAATGATTAGTTCATTACCAGGCCTCTGGGGAACTTCAAGACATGTTGAGGAGGTGATTCAGCAATTTTAATTAGCTGTGTTGGATTAAGGACACATCTAAAACCTGCAGGACGCCATCAATTGAGGCCTGGAGTTGCCTGCCCCTGTTTTAAATCGTCCATTTTCCAGGGGAAAAACTGTACCGGATACATCTTAAATGAATTTTTTTTTAAAAAACGTAAGAATTGGGTACAGAAGTTTGAATTTATTTAGGATTTCTGTAATCTACACAGGTTAAAATTATACATGCATACATATACTCAAATATTTTAGGATGGAGAATAGTCGATATGCACATATTGGGAAAGTCTCTTGAAGCCATTTATAAACAACTGTCAGGGTTTCTGGGTCGTTGACCCAGTATTTTCAGTTCACCGTTTACCTACTGCCTGTTCCACTTCCTGTTTTATTGTGTTAGCCTTAGTCTGTGTGCATTATGTTCAGTCCTCTTCCCATTTATCATTAGTTCATTATGTTCAGCTGTTCACTCACCTGTCTCCAATCATTGTCATTGTTAATCATGTATTTAAGCCCTCTTCCCTTCAGCCCTTGTCGTGTCATTGATGTTATGTTGTCATTTCCGCCTTTGTTCAGTCAGCCAGCCTTTCAGTCAGTCGTCCAGCCAGTCGTCCAGCCAGCCGTCCAGCCAGCCAACCATTTCCTACCTCTGTTCTGTTTGTTCACTCCATCGATAATAAATCACCAGGCTTCACCTACCTGCGAGTCCTGCGTTTGGGTTCCTTCTTCCTCGCCTCCACTCAGCAACCCCTGACAACAACTGGTGATTCAAGATCATCAGTTCTTCCAGGGTCTTCCAAAGTAGTGACACATCCAAGTAACTTGTATTTAAGTACAGTCCAGAATAGGAGGCAGAACCCAAGCATGAAGTTTGGGTTGGAGCTGGTGATCCTGAATCCTTTCTTAGGAAACAATAGGTCTAGGCTGCCATAATTCATTGTGTGTTTCTCCTTTAGTCGCCTTTTTCAATCACGTGTT